TTTGGTTTATATTTATAACTGCAGCTAATTTGTGATACTGCGTGACCATTGGCATGTTCAATTTTTTAAAACGAATTTCCACGAAACGGTACCAAAATTGTTACAACCACCACCACCATTACCACTACTAGTTCATCAACATAATCAGTTTAATTTTATCCAAATTTATTATTTTCATAGAAGTAGGAACCATTATTTCAATTGTTTCATGAACTGGTCATTTTCTGCATATATTTCATTTTCATTTCTTAGTGATAATTTTGACAAGTTTAATGTTACTATTTATAATCATGGTAATAATAATAATAATAATCATGATTTTCTAAATATTCGAAACAAGCACTCATTTGACAATTGAGCTAATTTTTTTAGCATTCTCTCTTAGAATATTTATTACTGTTGGTAAAGTTAGACAGGTAGATTCAGTTGATTATTTTTCCCAATTAATTGTTACATTTTAACTGGTGACAGGAAGTATCTCTGACAGAACGTATGTTACCATTATCAACACCCCCCCATTCGTATACTACTAAAAAAACTATGATTGTAATATTAATTGTATTAACAGGTTGACAAATGGGAGCTATTTATAATTTCATAGATTTATTATAAATATTTATTTATTTTTCGTCTTACTTTAGTTTCTGTGCAGTTTACATTGATTGCCATCGGAGATTGAATATAAAAATCGTCACTTTTTAAAAGTGTGTGAAGTAAATAATTGTCAATACTATTTTAGACTTAAAAAAGTCGTTTGTTTACTTGTTTTGTGTGTGTGTGTTTCTTTCTTAGATCTTACTAAAAACAAACTTTTGATCTGAACACATGAACAGTATGGTTAGTAAACTATTGAATTTATTATTCAAGCTATTTCGGGATTCAATACTAATGTGTGTGCGTTTGTGTGATTGAGACATTTAACTATAGTAGAGATTATTTGTCTAGTCAAATAAAGTTATCACAATCCGAGCAATTCATTTAGACTATATTTATAGACGTTGACAGAAATCATACGTTTTATGGGGGAAAAACTATTTTTAGCAGGGATTTGACAGTAGTCAAATTTATCAACAGAAATGATCATAGTAACTAAGATCAATTAACTAAGTAATCTGTTGGTCAAAACGATTAAACCATTAATATATTTTCTGAAAATAAAATTTACATTTTACAACATAATAATTTCCAACTAAGTGAAAATCTTGTGAAAACAAAAAAATATATGGTCTGGGACAATGGTTACGGAATAATAATAGTCTTGAATGATTTTCCATTAAAATTTATGATAATTGATGTTTCGGCTGTTTAGATAAATCATAGCAGGGGTAATCAATGTACATCTCCAAGTGGTTGATATTCTCATTTATTTTCTATAGAAAATAGACTGATAAGCATTTTGGTTTCTCTTTCTCTCTGTGTGTATGCATTTAATTGTTTGTATACATGTATGTAAGCTCGTGTACGCGTATTAGCGCCCATCTGAAATTATAAAACTTTTTCCTTTATTTAAATAGGATTTTCTGATTTTGCATATGCGTGCATATCCTGGGTGTGTGTAGGTTTACACCAATGTATTGAAAGAACATTGATAATAAAGAAAAGTTTAATAGAATTTATGTTTAGACAACTTGTCTAAGTAATATCAACAAACAGTCAAATTACACAAATCCTTAGTATATATATATAGGATACATGTTCAACAAAATAATAGCATCTCTCATAGTGTTCCTGGAATGTTAAACAAAGTCATTTATGGTAGTAGTGGTAGTAATAACAATAATAATAATTGTAGTAGTAGTATACCGCCACCAGTCAGAAGTAGAATGCCTGAGAGCAGAAGGTCGAGAATATTAAAATGAAGAGAAGAGAGAAGGGAACTGAAAGCAATCAAGATAAAAACAGGGATGAAGGAACAGCGAAGCTTGTAAGAGACACTTCAAAGAAGATTTACAAATGATGTATTTGATGTATGATTTTCACATTTTACTAAACGACCATGTGATTATGCATCAATCAACAAATTGGTTCCCCCCTCACCTGAGTGTTTATTCACTACAGTAGTAGTAGTTTTTGTTTCACTGCATTTACAATACATTTGAGTATTTCATGTAGACATAAAGTGGAAATAGGGGAGAGCTCAGTATTTCACCATTGTATTCGTCTTTATAATTAAATAAAGGAATTTTTAAAAACACCATCCTATTTATATTTCATAAACATGACAAATTTACATTGTTTTATGCTTTCTGCTTATTATTATCACCTCCATCATCATTCAAGAGTAGTTATCCCATTGTTAAAATTCATTCACTTATTATTATTTTATTTACATAAATTTCTACGTAGAAAGTTACTATATTAAGAATATAAAATACATATTGTTAAGTAGTATATTGAACTTTTCCATAATTTTACTTTTCTTTAATTTCCAAACTCGTTTCGAACCAAAGTAGTTATATAAGTTGGGGTTAGTTCAATCTAAAGGCGGGTTCCCATTACAAAATGTTATTAATTAGAGAATTACTGAAGGTGATAGAGCTTTGAACAGATGATTCGTTCTATTTCACAATTTCTAAGTAATATTCGCTTAATACACCAACAGGGATCGAGCCTTATACCTTCAAATCCTATGGTGCGCGCCATGCCTTCATACTACTAAGTCGGTGTCCAAAAGTCAATTTTTTCAACTGTAATCAATTAATAATACAATGCAATGATCATACGATGTCATCGATCAGAAAGTGTTTTACACCCTACATGATTCAAACTCGCCAGTCATAGTTTCTTACTAAAAATTCAAGAACCCATCTTAAAGTTAGTTCATAAAAATCAAATATTTATTATCCACCAGACATCAGTTCATGTAGAATCATCTGGAAAAAAGAAATAATGAACAAGAATAACCTTTTATCGATAGTATTTTTTGTTAAGAAAATGTGAGTGCGGGAAAATCCTTTCTAAATCTAATCACAAGAAGAGTCACCAATGAGATATTGTCATTATTACTACATATGCTGTGACAAGTATTAATTTAGTTCTGATGGGAACATGTGTACACTATAATGCTCTTGTCTTTCAAGGATTTAAACAGATAAATATTTTTAGAATTATTAAACTGTCTTGTGAATGGAAAGCACACTTCAAGTGAAATGAAAGAAATTCCCCCTAACTATAATTTCAATTTCTTATCATGCTAAAATGAAATTTACTTGTTATCTCATTAGGTTTTATCACGACTTCCATCCGAATCACAGATTTATATTAGAACACTAGATACATAAAAGCATCAATTCACACTGAAATTACCATAAGTAGTAAACTGAAGAAAAAACCCATAAAAAAGGATTTATATCGCTTTATCTTAGGTTATTTAAATAAAGATTTATGACATCGTATTTCGTTTATTTTTGTTGTTATATTTGAGTGAAATTCACTAGTTGTATCGGGTGTCTATAAACATAACTGAAATGATTTAGTACTACTTGTGAGTAGCTAAAGTGTATTTTGCAAATTTATTGGGGGTTATTACTGTTTGAAAGAACAATTATTGTCAGTGAAGAAAATGTTTCACCGAAGAGAAAAACTAGAAGAGAGCAGAGCTACAAACAAGAGTGTTCTAAAGTAATAATATAAAGATAGAGTGTTCAGTTCAGTTAGAAATCGAATTCATGAACAAATACAATATCGATTTAAAGGATATAGTTTTCGTACCTCTTCCTGTATGATCTTCTAACTTTATCAGTGATACACTTTGTGAGTATTTCTTTCTAGCATTCGAAACAATTTACGTGAAATTCACTATTTTCAACATGAAAACAACTGTTGTTCAAATTTGTTATTCATACTCGCCTCCGCACTGATGAACAAATTTTCGTCCCCTCCCTTTTTGCATTGCTCAAGCCTATCACCCAATAATATCAATAATTTTAAAAACAATATAGTCAGTGATTTATTGTTTCAGGACAGATTTAAGAGCCAATAATTTGTACAGTGACTGTCTTTTTATGAAGAATGAGTTCTAGTAAACACGCTGTCACCCGTTTAAAATGAAGTTCTTATGCGGTTACAGTCAGAGATAATTTGTTTCTCAACATAATATATATTTGGGTAGAAGAAGCACTCACCTAGATAACACTCAATTCAAAGACTATAATTAAAAAATTATGGTTATACCCTTAAAATTTATTGTTAGAGCTAAAATGAAAAAAAAAACAGTAGTTTTAATCATAGCCGGAAAAAAGTGGATGCATAACAAAAGACGAAGATAATGGGTAGTAACATAAAAAAAACACTTTCCAAAAAATGCCTATTCACTTACAGTTCTCCCACAAAAACCACCCAAAAGTTTTCCTTTAGGATCACCCCCATCGAAAACTCGAAGGTAGTCGTACCTGAATAATACGAGGAGGTTAGCAAGCATGATGTAATTTCATAACGATTACAAAGAAACAAGAATGAATAATAAATGTTAAAGATAATTTTAAGAATGGGTTTTGTGGAGAATTTACGAAATTTCACAGGTTTTTTAAATCATGAGTCAGTTGAAGCTAGACCACCATTGAAAACCTGGAAGCACTGGACGGCCGTTTCGTCCTGGTATGGGACTCCTCAGCAGTGCGCACCCACGATCCCGCACCACGCGGGGCTCGAACCCAGGACCTACTGGCTTCGCGCGCGAGCACTTAACCATTAGACCACTGAGCCGGCATCCAACGGTGTTAATGTCTAACTTCAACCAATCCACGAAGTTGCGCCACCGTACACCATTGTCTTCAGTGAGTTGTTATCTCACAACAGTCAACCGGTCTGTTGTGAGATAACAACTCACTGAAGACAATGGTGTACGGTGGCGCAACTTCGTGGATTGGTTGAAGTTAGACATTAACACCGTTGGATGCCGGCTCAGTGGTCTAATGGTTAAGTGCTCGCGCGCGAAGCCAGTAGGTCCTGGGTTCGAGCCCCGCGTGGTGCGGGATCGTGGATGCGCACTGCTGAGGAGTCCCATACCAGGACGAAACGGCCGTCCAGTGCTTCCAGGTTTTCAATGGTGGTCTAGCTTCAACTGACTCATGATTTAAAAACCTGTGATAATTTTAAGAGTTTCTAAAATGAGAGTTTCAGCTTTCAACTAATTTATAGACAAATTATTTCTATACCTTCACTCATGTTGCTCAAGAGTAAAATGTTCGTTTATACCTAATGATAAGTATATATGTATATAATGAACTGCTTAATTCACCATATGGGGCAGTGTGATTCAGATGCATTTGATCCCCCCACAGATAACTGAAACCTAGATTGGGGTACAGACATACCGAAATTCTAACATAAAATGTATTGTATACCTTACTAAAATAATGGGCAATCGGTGGGATAAAAAAATAAACACTAGAAATCTTTTCATAAATAACTAATTATTTTTCTGCTTGAGGTTGATTATTTGAATTGATTGAAATACTCTCGAATCTATATCAAATCAGTAGTAATTTCACGGAGAAATAGGTAAGATTTGATCGATGCTATTAACAGAAGCTGAATCTAGAAAATATTTGAAAATTTCGAGAGACCCTACAATTTGTTATGGATGGTCTAATCAGGATATATATGTCTTCTGTGACGACAGATTAAGTGTCATTTATAGATCTTCCTAATTTCAATAATATTGATGAATAAATAGAAATCACTGCTTTCTAACTAGCAGCAGGCCCTAACAGGTTTACTCCTGAGATTTTTAAGGATGGTGGTTCAGTATTAGCAGTGAGATTAACTGAGGTCTTAGGTAGAATTTGGGAACTGGACGTAATCCCATCTGACTGGTCTCAATCACTGATTGTGCCAGTTTTAAAGGAAGGACAAAAGTCCTCTTGTGACAATCACAGAAGAATCAGTTTGACTAATATAATGTCTAAAGTATTAGCTTCAATAATACTTCGACGCCTAATCAAAGCTCGTGAAGAGCAGACGAGAGAAAATCAGGCTGGTTTTCGACCTGGACGTGGTTGTATAGACCAAATATTCACACTACGTCAGGTTCTAGAACACAGACACACGTTTAGACGCCCCACAATGGTAGTATTTCTCGACATTAAGGCGGCATTCGACTCTGTCGATCGTAAGGTTCTATGGTAGTGTTTGTCACTAAAAGGAGTACCAAAGAACTACATTAACCTTATTCAGGCTCTCTACTCGAACACAACTGGTGGAGTGAGAGCTTATGGCGAACTGTCATCAGAATTGATTACCTCAAGTGGTGTTCGTCAGGGCTGTCCACTCTCTCCTTTCTTGTTCAACTTTGTCATTGACGTACTTTTAGAGATGACACTTTCCTCATCTAAATTTACAGGGGTTGAACTTCTACCGGGAGGTTCACTTGTTGACTTAGAATATGCTGATGACATAGTTTTATTTAGCGAAGACGCTGACAAAATGCAGAGTCTTCTAACAACTCTAAGCAACAATGCAAGCATGTTCGGGATGCGATTCTCTCCCTCGAAATGAAAATGTTGCTTCAGGATTGGGTTGCATTGACACCAGAACTAATGATAGGGAGTGAAGTAATTGAGCATGTCGATCGCTTCATTTATCTTGGAAGTTTCATCAGCCCTTGTGGTTTGGTGTGTGACGAAATCTCAGCACGGATACAAAAGGCTCGACTAGCTTTTGCTAACTTGCGTCATTTATGGCGTAGGCGAGATATCCGTCTATCAACCAAAGGACGGGTTTACTGCGCAGCAGTTCGTTCCGTCCTACTTTATGACAGTGAAACACGGTCGGTAAGAGTAGAGGATATTCGTAGGCTACTAGTATTCGATCATAGGTGTCTTAGAAACATTGTTCGTATATCCTGGAACCACCGAGTAAGTAACGCGGTTGTTAGAAAATGAGTACTAGGTAAGGATGGCAAATCAATTGATGAAGTAGTGAAACTTCATCAGTTGAGTTGGCTGGGACACGTGTTACGTATGCCCAACCACCGACCGCCTCGACGTGCGATGTTCACTGGTGTAGGAGTAGGTTGGAAGAAAGCTAGGGGCGGACAGACCAAAACTTGGCACAAATCCATGAAATCACTGGCAAGTGAATTGAGCCATGTTTTTAGGTGTAGACTGGTTGGGGACCGCGAGATGATAGCAACCGATAGTTAGAGACCTTGAATGATATGGCTCAAAATCTTTTGCAATGGAGCAGTGCATCCACTCTTTGTGTCCTCCCAAATTCTTATCTTCTGAATTCTCCTTGTCTCTTTTTTTTCTCTTTCCAAATTTATTTCACTGGATAGTACTCCTTGAATAACATCTTCAAACCCTGATCTTTTCGATTACTTCTTATACTCTTATTACCTCTACCACTACGAGATTTAAATCGACAACTGCATCTCTGTGCTAATGTGGTATGGAAACTCGAAATGATGTACGTACGTACAAAGTTCTACGTTGTTACTGACTGACTGATCTAGCTCTTTGAATTATTTAGGTTTGAAGTACATTAAGGCAACATCGCTGCTAGATCTCCCAAAACATCTGAATATACTTAATTGTCATTTCTGAAAATAGCAAATTGTTTATTATTTTCAAGAGGAAGAGATCACTTCTTATATGAACATAAAACAGAAGAATATCTTTCCGCTGAGGTATGTGACACAACTTATGAGAGGATTGTGACACCGTCCTGATAATGCCATTGCGTCTTTAATTTGAAGGCTTTTTCGAAAGGCAGTGAAGTACCTTCAGAAGATGTACTTTTTTTGTAGCGGATGGCAAAAACAAGTTCATACTCCACTCATTCCTCTACAAATGTGGAATACATGTAAATGGTTTGTGATCAGGGTTATAAAACTCCTTTGGAACATTAATATTCAGTAACATTGTCTGAGGATCAGATACCAACTTTCATCCCATATTTTATGGAAACATACAAGTAATATGAAGTCATCGAGTAAGAATTTCATATTGTTTATTAAAGGTAAGAGAGAGAGAGAAATATCAGTTTTTATATCTTGGGTCCTTTGGCTAACATTATGTGCCGAGTCACCAATAAGAGTCTTAATCCTAATTTGATCTATATCGTGTTCCGAAGTTTATCAATTACACACTCAACCAGCACTATTAACCTAGAGCCGACGCAGTTAAGTCCTTGCTGGTTCACAATCTGCAAGCTTCTATCTCGAATCTGTCGTAAGTTCAAAAGTCAGCAACCAGTTTCTACTATCTCTTTATTTCAAACAGACGTGGTTGATATAAAGACATACTGGACAGCATCACATCATAAAATAGAAGCTAATAACTGTATATAAACAAACCAAAGTGACTGTGAACAGGAGAGACTGTAAATAATAGACTGAGAAATTGGGAAAAGTAAGTCGTATGATAGTAGTTCATGGATTAACTGAAAGCTTATGATAAATGGAATGCATAAACATAGTAAACTAGTTAATAATTAGTTATTCAACAAAATTATAATCAATAATAATTTGGGAAATCAGTACCAAATTTTATGATATTCATTGTTATAGCAGAAGTTATCATTTTTACTCGATCTGTTCAGGGTATTTGGGAGAAGCTGGGTTGTTTGCCCATTGCAGTCAGAGACATTATTCCCGGACTATTCCCATTGCAAATAATCACTAGAATAGATAATTTTTGTTCACGATTAATAAACTTACGTGCATAGTGTTTCTTCTTCTACTTCAAAATAAAGAAATCTCAGTAGAACAGTATGATTATCTAATTTTGGTGTAATTGTCCAGTAACACTGTTGATTTGATTCGTAATCGAGATCACCAAATTTAGCATGTGAATAAATTGTTTGCGGAACACTGTCAGCAGTTAGGTGACCACCACAAACTTTAGGAGAAAGTTATCAAGAAAATCAATACATACTTCTGTTATATAAATACTCACCAAACACAAAAACTTGCATTTCTAAAATCTTATTCCTAGTCTAAAAATCTCATACCATTATTTGTTAAGGTTTTAAAACAGCATAAATTCTAGATAAGCTGATTTCTTTTAATTTTTTGAAATTCGGGTCATGATGTGTTTTCTAAGTTAGATGATTTTTTTGTGATGCTTTTATTACCCTTCTGGACTGTATTATCAGTACTTGATTCATACAGAGATGATTTGTTTACTTAAACAGACAATAAAAGACTTGCAGTTAAACAGAGCACATCATACGATACGTCACAAGCAAAAACATCTACCTGAGGCACAAATCTTCACTGTTTTAACATCTCAACTGTTTTCAGACTCAGTTATCTTGATAACTGCTAACTTAAAGTAGTCACGGTGTACTAACCGAACATATGCGCCTAAAATATATTGACAAGTGAGGTTGATAACACAGTGTCGGAGTGATCATTACCTGTGAATCGAAAGCAGATAAACATCAAGTGACAATCAGAGACAACAAAATAGAAATTTCATCATGATACGATCGAAGCAATCGGTTCGTATTTAGGGTTATATGCTTTTAGCATCTCTTGACCATATGATCTTGGTAAACTTGTTTTCATACCGAGAGTCAATGTCGCTATTCAATAGTATCTTCAAAACTAACCCAGGTTGATTCGAAATATAACCTGCACTACAAAAATCTATAGAAATAATCACCAGTACTCCTATTAGTAACATCTTCTGTGGTCCACAAGTAGCAATTTGTCAGTACTTTTCTTTATTTGCATCTCTCCGACCATATTCGTACTTATTGTTTGGCAACGATATGAGCTATGTCTAGCTACCTTGAGTCATATCACAATAAAGTTATTTCAAGATAAATGTCTTCAGATATGATAAATCACTGTGTAATATTTATCTGAGTTTTTACTGATAAAGTACCACTGATTAACAACTATCAACCTAGAAACATAAGTAGAACTACGACATGTCACGTTACGATCGATTGAGGCTCATTTTGTTCCCAAGTCTCACAACTCTACAAAGATTATCCTGTCGATTAAATCTTGAAATTGTGAATGCTATATATAGTTATAACATAGTTATTACATGTATGTTATCGACGCAAGCACAGGATAGGAAAGATGTGAGCTAATTTTTAGTTCTTATTAATCTCACAATGAAGAATAATTTAAAAATGACTGGATATGTTAAATATTTTAGTTTTATATTTGTAAATAAAATTAACTCTAAGTTTAATTGCACCAAACAACAAGGTGTAGATTATATTGTCCTGGAATGGGAATCCTCAGCTGTAGGCAAATATAGCCCCATCAGGGATCAAACATATAACATTAAGGTTTGAAGGATAGTACTTAGCCTTCAAACCACTAAGTTGGCGTTCAGTAGTTCATATTTCTAACTCCAATAATCATTATTGTATTTCTTAATAAAATATCACAACTAACTTGTAGTATGTTGAGCTCGAAATCCTTTACGTTGTACAGATGAATCAGAATTAAATGTAAGCAATAACTGATTCTGTGAAGAAATAATTGGACCAGGTTTTCTACTACCACAGTATTGACCAAGAAAAGCGGAGCTATTTGTTGGTCCATCATAAGCTATAACTTGATCATATGTACATTGTTGATGTGATTCAAGTTCAAAATCGGCAAATATCTACAATACAATTATAGTTAAAAGTAAATAAGTAAATCTACTAAAAATCAATAACTCTTTGCTATAAACTATGGTTGATGAACTGCTTAAATTAACTTTTCAAGTCATTTCGATTATTTTATCCTATTACTGACGATAATGTTTATTGATAGTGATACTTTCAGTCATATACTTGAGAAATATCTGCTTATTTCTTACATAATACAACAGTGTTTCTCGTTTGATATCAATGGATGTTTTCATGTATCAGGGCCTTTTTACTCATTATGCTAAATACTAAATCAGATAGTCAGATTCCACAGTACAATAAAAGGATCAAAATGATTTTGTTGCAATAACTGAAGGTAACTAAAGGTGATTAAATGCAATATAGGTGCAAAATTAGATGAGGTAATGTCATGAATAATTATGGAGAAGATCTTGAGGATATGAGACATAAGTAAAGGGAGAGGGGGATTACAAAATGTGAAAAATAATAATATAATAATAATAGATTAAGACCAAAGGAATGATAACGATAGGACATACTTCTTTGGTACGCAGTATTCTATCTTGAGCTCATGGATGGTATGAGCCTTTGTTATTTTAAGGAGTTGGATGCGAATAAGTCTGGGTAAATTTGTGCTAATTGAATACATAACCATAAAATCAATCAGTGGATCGGTAGAATGATCAGAGTTGATTAGATGCTCAAGGATGGAATATGTAACTGCCTTCCTCTCACTTTTATAGAACCACACTGGGAAATGTTCTATTAACCGAGTTGAAGGCAAGCATTGGCTATGGCCTATGTACCCAGCTCTACAAGAGCAGATGAACTGGCAAATGTACATGGAGGCGACCAGACGAGGAAGCTTGTCCTTTACGGATACAGAAAACAAGTTTCAATTAGTGAACGTTATTTGCAGTTTTGCCGCATAGATCGTTATTTTTGTAGCTGCCGTTACCCTATTTTTAGTTACATCAGATGTTCGGTCACCTTTAAAGTCCAGATTCATATAAAGGTATTAGACAAAGAACCGGATCCCCTGTCCCATCTTTTTTTATATTCTTTTCTATGAAGCAACTTGGATAGTTGTTTTCCACTAGAGTTTTCCTGAGGAACGCGAGTTTTTCGTCAATCCATTCCGTACTACATTTTGATCCTCTTACTGCATTCACATTATGATTCATTGTTAACTTATTAATTTTATCGTTATTACTAAATGATTAACGAGTGTGTCTTCATGTTTATTTAAGCATTCATCAATTCGAATGACCATAATCAGGTGTATTCTATGAAGACAATGTCTAGGCTGACGTTGAAATGTTCACCGACTAAACCTTAAAAGCAAACAGTATGTCGATTAAAATACATATAAATTCCTGTCAATAATATATGGAAAACGTACCCTATCTAATAATTTATACATCAAAACCTTATAAAGAATATCATACACAGTTCTATGATAAAATGAGATTAATTATGCTAAATGACCACTTACAACTTTCACTCGATGACCAGGTGTTACAGTGATTTTCCAATGACAATTTTGCTTCACGGGATATTCATTTGGCCAATTTGGAGTGATAATCTCCCCATCGGGTGAAGATATATCTTGCTGACATCCAGTTTTAATGTCTAGTTAAACAAAAACAATGATCCATCCAGGTACGTATCATCATACTAAATAAGGTAAAAACTATGACAAGAGAATTTTTCTGTTAATTTTCCCTTACAACTTTAAAGAAAGTTTTGTTAAAGCATTATTCAGTAAAAGAATATGATGTGGCTAAATATACAAAGAAACGTTTATATTACGCAGTATTTACAAATTAATTTCCCAACATGGTTTCAACTAAACGCATTTTACCCGTTAGTTTGTCACTTTTTGAGATACAAACTTCTTATCCCATTTTCAAAGTTATTACAAACACATTTATACACACTGGCTGTTTACTTGAATTCATTAAATCTCTTAAACAAGGTTTTTTGGGGGGGGGTGAATAAGAAGCTGTCTGTATTGATTTAAACTATTTCATTGATCAGTTCAAATGAATAATAATAATTAAAATTCATGTATAATGATAGTATAGTCAGGGATGAACTGATCATCAATGATCAGAGGAGATCCGATGATCTCTTTTATTGAATGAAAAAAAAAAACACAACTAGAAATATATTTCATATAAAAGCAAAGCTCAGAATTCATTGATAAGTAATTACAGTGACAGTAGGAAAAAACATTTATTTCTCATCAAAATCTATGCAGTTTCTATGATATATAAGATAATCTTAAACAGATTTCAAAAAAATGCAGACGAGATAATTAAATACTTTATTTAATTATACTACTTTGAATGCACACTATGCTCTGACAAATTATTCAAATAATAATAGTCTCTATTGTTTGTGGACAGAGGGGGAATCCAGGACGATCATCTCATTCTGCTTGGAACTTATCAATTGGATGTTGACACTAGGGTACAAATCCAGTTCCACTAAGCTACTAAGCGATTTGTGTCACTTATTGCAAAAGATGTAGGATGCTAAGTATCACCTTAGATATAAAGAGAAATACAACTATAATTACCTTGTGTATGGGTTTAGTCCCCTTCAGAATAATTGTCAACAATGCAATTGTTATTGAGTTCATTAAAGTTGACGTATTGGTTGTGAATCTTCATGGACTGAGATGGTTGGACCACGTGTTGCGTATGCCTGAACACTGGTTACCACGATGCGCAATGTTGACTAGTGTAGGGGATGGTGGGAAGAAAGTTAGGGGCGGCCAAACCATAACGTGGCATCAGTGCTTGAAGTCACTAACTTCTGGTCTGAGCCATGTTAGTAGATGGTTGGGGTTCGCATGATTATCGTAACCAATTGTTGGAGACTGTGGGTGACATGGATCAGAATCGATCACAATGGCATAGATGTATACACTCTCTGTCTTCCCTTAAACTATGAGATTAAAATTGCTTCATAGCTCTCTTTCTACGAACTAATTCTTCCTTCCTGTACTTTAACCTTATATGCAATCTTTCTTTTATATATTATTACCATTGAATTAACTATTATGAATGCAGTGTTCATCTTGTTGTGGTAATGAGGCATGGCAACTTGGACCGATGTACATATGTGCCTGGTCCTACGTTGTAGCTGACTGACTGGCTTTACATCACACACTGTTGTTCGCAGTTATTGTATTTTGTCTTATTTATTAAGTTACAATTATTCAAGACTTTTACATTATAACCAAAACTTAGTTACCGCTTATTCCAGATGTTTAGTGATTTGATTCTTCAAATCGGCATATGTTGAAGAAGCGAGGATATTTTTAAAATATTTGCAAATTGAATGATGATTTCGATAATTTATCACCAAGTTTTGTGATATGATATCCATATTCACCAGTAACGGATAAAAAGACCAATGCTTAGTAGCTGATTTAATAAAAATTCGATAAATATGATTCTCAACATTAGATAGTCGGAATAATGCTACAAACTTATTACCAACATCTGTTGAAATCTTAATTAAGTATCTTCTTTCGACAAATATCTTTTTGATGGTAAATAATTTTAGAGAAACAACTATTAGTAGAACTCTATTACCTAGTCGGCACCTGTATCTATCAAGCTCAGTGAATTATACGATATTAGTTAAAACAAATTCTCAAAAAAGAATGTGAAAAATGCACTTATTTTATCAGACTAATCGTCATTATTGATATGAGTAAGTTGAAGAAATTATTCAGTTATGGTATTTAATTTTAATCATAGTATCTAGTTAGTTAATATAGAGAATTTAATATAAACTGTTAGATGATTACTGAGTAGTTGTGACTGGTGTCATTCAAACTATATCGGGAGTGAAACACATGTTATCAGTGGCATTAAGTTATTTTCATAATACATTGGTAATTGATTGAACTTAGGATTTCACCATTGGGTTATGAATCACTGGCTCTAATGGTTAGGCGTCAGTTGAGAAATCTGATTGTCCTGGATTCAACACCTGACGGATGAGTGGATGAGCACTGCTAAGGAAAGAAACTAGACCATTAGATTTCAGTCTAGTGGCTGATCAGTATGATGTTTACTTTGAGATCTTCGAGTTTCAAACTAAACCTTGTATAGAGTTGTTGGTACAGAATGGTGAAGTATCTTAAACTAAGATAAAATTACTGTCTTTTGTTCCTCGTATTTCAAGAATTCTGCGATTGATGTTAATTGGTGACGACAACCAGTCTTAAATTACTCATCGAATAATTTGGGAACGCAGATGAAAATAAGTAAAAACGATTAGAAAATGGGAGTCATTCATAAAAAAACCTCTTTAAACGCTAAATTTCACTTAGATTACTTAGAGACAGCAATTCAATGATACAAACATATGATTATTTAATAGTGGTAGTGATAATGAACAGTTTATTATCACTGATAGTGACCAAATCATGAAACACACATATACATACACTCTTAATTCAATGTAACACTATAAATATATATAATCAGGAATCATATCACGCAATCAATGAACCCCAATTACTTGACAACTTAAAATTAAACCGATCATTTTCCAATTACAAAGATAAAAAACAATTATATACTAATCGTAAAATGATAATCTTATTCATATTGTTGATATGATTTGAAAAAAAAATTAGATAAGTATCAAAAATGCAAATAAACTAATTAATATTTGTCTATTGTTTAACTTAATTTTGTCGCCAACGATGAGATAATTTAAACAAAAAGCTATTGAACTGTACAATGTTTCAATCTAATAATAATAATAACAATAATAATAATAATAATAATAATAATAATAATAATAGTCGTAATGATATTTGTATTCTTGTTTAAAATAACAATCACACATACAGTATATTAATAATGACTATCAATTGTGTGAAATATGTGTGGCCTTTTATAAAGGTTTTGGTAAAAAATGAAATACACGTAGAGTGTTAAACTGATGAATTTGTAACTTAATGACTGTAGAGTAGCATGATCTACAATATCATCTAACAAACTTCCAAAACACATATACAGAATTGAGATTCGGTAATCGATTGTACAACGAAGAAGACATAATTGGAGTTTTTGCGACCACTAATTCTAATGTTCGGGCGTCTAACTCTCCTGGACGCAATTATGTGAGTTAATATGTTTGTGGTATGGTTGAAAAAGATACCAATGGTATTGGTTGTGGTCAAAAGGCACAGCTGGTCGACAAGACTAGGGAGGCATTTAAAGCTATATGTGGCTATATATGGATCCAGATTGAGACAATAGTGGACGCTGAGAACGACCTCTCTTTTCAGTTCTCTTATTATCATTTTGATTAAAATATTATTTTGATATTTTTTCCCAAAAAACTTCACTTTCACTGAGATACTGACTTGCTCACTTTTTGAAGAAAATCAAATTTATACCAGACACCATGTACAATAGAAAAAATGTTCAAAACTGTACATTGTATACAAGCGTTAGCCTTATTGGCCTCAAGAGAAACCATATTGTTTCATGTTGATGCATCAATATTAACCATTATTACGATGTAAAGTATTTGAAGATGTGGTTGTCTTTATTGGGATTCTATCAAAATCATACCATACTTCGCATCGTTAAATATAGAAAAGACTCATTGTTCCACTGAGATGTAGTAAATCAATATGAAACAAAACTCTCTGGTTCAAATGTATTGATGGAGTAAGTTATTAAGAATTAAGTAGGAATTAGAGATTCACTTCCTGGTCAATCAAAAAATTAGTGATTTATTGATTAGGGGGAGAGGGTGAAAGCGTCACACATGAAGGTTTTGTTTGCTGAATATTGAACGACCTTAGATTAAAACGTTTAGTGTTTGGGAAATAAATAATCACTAATCTGTTTTGGGTTCAATCTTATATAAATAATTAGTTAATACCTCAAGTCCATAAATATTAATTATATTACTTGTTAATATAGCTTATTAATTAAGTTCTTTACAAACAATAAAGTTCAAATGAAAGACATATTTTATCAGACCGTATCGTTCATCTAGGAATTCAGTTATAAAATGGTAATACACTACGTTAAACCAGATGAAACCTATGAACACGTTAAAAATATCTTAAAAGGGCATTGAAATCAGTAATTTGTCTGTGTTAAATGAAGCAGAAACCTGACTAGAAAGGTGAAAATATAATATATTCATTTCCAAACATTAAGTTATATTCATAAAACATGAGAGGGTTACATGAATGATATTTGGAATAATAATTTATAAGTTTTTACTTTTTGAATTTGAAGCAGCCTTTGAAGTAAATGTTTTGAACTTAACTAATTAGCACATTGAAGAGTAACTTCTCTTTCTATAACTTTTAATTCAGTATGGCTCAAGCCATATTCCACTGACGATTTTTCGATTTCTAAAATGTCATATTTAAGCTGTGTAATGTAAGCGACTCACTACTCGTTGAATGAGAATCAATTAATCCTGTTTACAGAAATCTTAGAACATGTTTTCCAACAAAGAAATATACACTGATTGATTACTGGGTATTCTTGTAGAAAAGGTTAGTTGACGAGAACCGAAATGCACGATACCTGGATTCAAGGTCTATAGACGATTAGCTCTAACCACCTAGCATCTAAACATCGAGAACCCAACCTTCAGTTACCTAGTATAGTAGCTACATTGTAATGTAACCAACAGAATTCAATCAAGGCTAAGGACTAGAGAAGTTTCACATTGCTCATGGATCAGTGATTGATTGTGGTGAATACTCCAGTCATGATGTATGGATATTTCGAATCTGATGGCTCCATTTTAACGCCTCTGATTTTGATACTAGTTGGCTCAAATCTCACAAGTACTTACTGTTGAAGAACATCGTCTAACACGAAACATACATTGATAAACTGTTGCTGATTATTTGAAACAACCTAACATCTAAAGTATGAAGCGAAAAAGTTCATTATCACTCAAAGGTGTGGTGCTGATATTGAAAATTCAGCTTTCACTTTTTCTAAGGTGAACCATCTAGGATAGATATTGCCGTTCAAAATTTACTTCGAGTAAGCACATATTTCTCACTGAAATAAAAACAATTTTAACCGCTACCAGAAATGTGTTTAAAGTGAAAAATAATCATTTACCGAAGTAAACTACTTACAACTAATATAGTAACATCCACAAACTAAAAATATGGATTTATAAAGACATAGTATAAAGTAATATTGAGTTTTCTATGGTGAGCAGTTTTATGGAAAGACTTTTTTTGTCAGTCTGAACTGAGTGAACAATACCTACCTGGACTAGAAATCAACATTTCAGAATTATCCCTTAGATAAAATATCAGCTCAACCTGATAAAGACTTAAGGCATTTGAATTTCTTTCGAATGCTGTGTCCTTATCGATTGGATATATGTATACTAATTTTCAAGTGGCTTACTTGCCACTTGTTTAGTGAATCTAAAATGCTTATTTCCAGTTAAGATATATACCGATGGTCTATGCTTCTCAATTAAACTATCTAGCGCAGAGAACTCAATATTACTGAATACATCCGTCTCGCTATAATTTAAAACATTGAATGAAACATACTCTCTTTGCATTCATATCTGCCGTAAAGATTAAAACCCGGTCGACAAGCGCAATGGTATGATCCTATTGTATTTCTACATAAATGTTGACAACCTCCGTTATTATCAGCACATTCATCTCGATCAGTAAAGAATACAGCTCTGAAACCAGTACGTTGTACAGATGTATCTGAATAAAATTCAATACTGAGCTCATTTGTATGGGATGTAATAGGCTCTGGTATTTGATCACCACAAAATGTGCCAATTTTCTGTTGATTATCTGTTGAACCATTGTAAACATTGATAAAATCATATCGACATGCACGCTAGGCAAGGAAAAGAACAATTGTAAATCGACCTGTCATTTTTAGTTTTAACGGAAACGATAGTCAAATAAAAACGGCGGATTTACATTTAATACAGTCTGTGTATTTAATTCGGAATATTTATAAACAAAGAAAAACGGTAGAAAGTTTTACCCTAGCACACTTAGTCAATACAAGCTGTTTGTTCTTGCTCTATACAAGCTGTAAGACCGACACATACATTACATTCAAAGTTACGTATCTAATCCCATTCGGCTTGTTTTTTTTAATCCAGATGTCGCCTCCCATACAAAGTAGAAGCCATAAGAATTCACCTTAATAGACCTATTCTTTACATCGAGAAAACATTTCTCTCTTCTTCGGTCATCTAACTGATTTTGAACTTGTCCTTTCATTTTTCCATCTATATTGCTATTAACACCCGACCGTTGTTGCTACCTTGACGTGGTGGTCGGGCTTGCCTATCGTGATGAAGCAACCGAGCTATACTGGCTGGAACAACCGTTCCTCAAGGTCCTACCATGTCAGACATGTCGGTTGAAGAGCGGTAAGACTAAAAGCAACAAACCTAAGGTCCGAAGGCGAAGTCGTACTGCTGACTGTACAGAGGTGTGATAGCAGTAAGGTGTTTCCTTCAGACAACCAGCATGACAGCGATGCTGCCTTCCCACAAGGAGGGGTGGGGTTAGAAAAGGTCGACCCTAAAAATGCACACCTCGCCTTACCTCACGGATTTCCGTCTCCGGCGGTAAGGCTCTTTGAAGAACGGAGCTAACACGTCAAAAACCTTCCACAAAAAGGCCGTGCGCGACCGGCCTCAAGCAGTTGTCCCTTGGGCACTGCGGTCACGCTCCCTGGTCACTAAGACCACTTCTAATCCGATTTCCTTTACAGGTACCTCCAGAAGAACCCTTCCACGGTGTGGGCAACCGGGAAGTGATAACTGCCCTCATACCTCTAACAGCACTCAAGACCACTGGATTCTGCTATTAACAGATTATGAATTCAAACGCCTGCTTTAATTTCTTACTTTATTCATCTTTATTCCTATGTAATCATTTTGAGTAATCAACTGATTCTTAAAACTTAGCCTTCAAACTTTACTTTTATGTAATCATCGCAAATAATTAAGTGATTCTTAAACCCAGAACTATTTGTGGATCTGTCTAAGTGATCACTCGATTTTATAAACCGTTTTCTTATTATTAGTATTGAGTTACAAAGGCTTCGTTGTCGATTTTTGTATTCAAATGCAAAATTATATATATTCCACTTTGGGACATATTAGCACTGATCATTCTTGACCCATCTTGATGTCTGATCAAGGGAATTTAATAATGGTAGGAATAATGAAGTGGAGTACAGAAATTTAATATCAAATTACTTTAAAAAAATTTTCAAATCCTAAATTCAATTCGTAATAGGTTACATAATCATTTTTTAAATGGTGCTTTATTACGCAATCTTCAAAGTAATCACTTCTCTTTAGAACAGCTAATGGAAATAACGTTGTGTGCATAAAACTAGTAAAAAACAATAAATTTGTAGTCACATGGTGGATCAAATAACTGTGTTGACTTGTCTAATTCATTCTATATGATATGTTAAAGAACGAAGAAATATGGTATTATACAATGTCTTGGAAACCTTTGAGTAATAGAGACAAAACTGAATGAAAATAGAATAATGATTTTCCGAATATGCCTAGTGAAAGTCTTATAACATTTTCGATTGGATAATTTTATTAATTACTTATGATGGAGATCTCACCTTTGTAAGTCTCACTTAAAATAAAGTAATTTATATGTTCGAATATCATTCATTTCACTCAATTAACACATTTCTAACCTGAATTCATCATCTGTATGGTTTCGATAACAAGCACTAGATCGAAGTGTCATCAGTTGTTTTGAACTAACATCTAATGTGTAATTTTGTATTGAATTTCACAGGAATCAGCGAACTGCTTTGGTATAAAAGATTGTGACAGGCCATTTAACCAATGAAACAAATCATTCAACAACAAAAAATATTTCTAACCAGTTTATATATTCAAAATCAACGTCACTGAAGAATATTTTTAGTATAAAAATGAGAACATTAGGACATAAGAAATATCTGTAAGTTAACTCACATTATGGCCTTCTAAATTAAAATGTGTAAAATTAAGAAAAATTGTCGTTTTAGGTGGTGCCAAAATTTTCCAGATACAATTTTTCTTAGGTGGATATAAATCAGGAAACAAAGGTGTTTGAATAGTACCATTCGACTCATTGATTACCCCTCCACATGCATCTAATTTATGAAAAATAATGTCACTTATATAATCAATATTGTTAGTGATTAACGAATATAGTAACAATAGCATCATAATATTCTATAATGTTATGTAGTTGAAATAATAAAATAACCTAATCTCAACTGAACTTAGAAATCAGTTCTATAACTTTCTTCCTAATACATTTTGTGAAGCGTAAACGGAAATAATTCAAATTTTTCTCATTTCCAAAACATCATTCAAGTTGTACATAGTTGAAAATTAATGTCTTAACAGAGTCAAGATCGACGTGGAATTCAGTAGCAGTTGATTTTGAACATCTAGATGTATAATGTATTCTTGGTAAAAAATTCCTGGTCCTTTTAAATGGAAAAGAACAAAGTCATTTTAATATGTTTCTTTTAATGACTATCTCAAATACTAGGTTACAAACTGTTTCCATGCATCATTATGCACTACTTGAAATATCCAGTCAATTACTATAGCACTCCTAGGTAAATACTGAACTGTTTTACATTACATTTTATCAAAATACTCTTTAAAGTGAAATGGAATCAGTTAATTAAATTTATTCTAATTCGAAATGCAACAGTGACCAGTAGAGCTCACAACCGGGTCTGTTGTGAGATAGTAACTCACTAATGATAATGGTGGATTTGTCGCTCGATTTCGTGGATTAGTTGAAGTTAGACATTAACACCGTTGGATGCCGGCTCATTGGTCTAGTGGTTAGGCGCTCGCCCGCGAGGCTGAACCGTGAATGCGCACTGCTGAGGAGTCCCACACTAGGACGAAACGGCCATACAATGGTTCCAGGTTTTCAATAGTGGTCTAGCTTCAATTGACTCATGATATCAGCCATTGAAATTATAATAATATCCACAAAAAAACCCTTCTGATATAAATTCTATATGGATCTCTCTTTTAAAGTTGAGTTAACATCAAATGATCCTTTATATTTCTGTATAATTTCTGTCTTACGCTGACAAAATGACACTCAACACAATTATCTATGAATGATAAAAATGGGGAAATGAACTACAAAAACTCCATATTTTAATTTACATAATGATGAGATTGAAAATGTGTAAGATTTAATAAACATCCATTTGATAATGATTTTACGAAAAATTTGTTTTTACCGCAAAGACATGAATTTGAATCATGAACAAAAATCAAGGTCAGATCATATCCATTCATTTAAAAGTAATTACTATCCATGACCCTACTAATATCACACAACAGTAAATCAACTGACATTTTAAAATTCGTTTTAATGCTACTGATAAAATCACTAAAAGTCTTCTTTAGTTATATGAGGAATAAAAGTTTGAGAAAGTATAGTGATAAAGGTAATGTGTATGTGCAAACAATGTTCGCTGTGATAACAAGTTCACTCTTAAATCTGAAAGTAGGGAACATAATTTATGATATTGAATATTTGACGATTGAATACAGTTATTAATAAGCAATTTTTACAAACGACTTTTATGATGAGTAAACCCGACCACAAAATACTCCACTTTATAGATATGGGAAACAACTGAACTGTAATGTGAAATCAAATAAATCAGTAAATTTCGTTCATTAGTCATTTGATTGTGTCATTCTAATTACCTTCACAACGTTTCCCATCTGCATGTAGTTCATAACCAATCTCACATTGACATCGATAACCTCCAAGTGTATTGACACAAGTATGTGAGCAACCATGTTTCATAGTTTTGCACTCGTCAAATTCTATGAAAAATCAAACAAAATAATTAATATTCTTAACTATTAAAGTTTTGTTGCACATAGACTTATGACTTTTTATTGTAACAAAGAGTAATTTTAAAGTTCTAAGTTGAATAATAAATTGGAGTATCGTCATAACCCAGAGGATTGAGATGATAGAAAATTATATCGATTTTAAAGATCGAATCTCTTCATATGAGAAAGTTTCGTGTTTTTCTTAATGTATAGGAATACTATATTGTACTTAAAACAAAAATGACTTGACTATACAAAGTTTGATTAACATATAGATAGTTAAAGATGTATAACAATTTCATTGTGTTCCTAGTGGCTTTCTTCCATTATCAAAGGATGAGTTCAAACAGTTCTTACTATCATGCACTAAAAGTACATGATTTCAGTCTAAAAAGACATTTTATCGACAAGTTGACAGAGTCACTATGGGTTGCCCATTGGAGACAGTCCTGGCAGATACATTCATGTCAAAACTGGAACAATCTGATAATTGATTAAAAAACTCTACGTTATGTATGCTGACAAGAGAATTTTCGCTCACGATATTCATGAATATGCTCCTTATCTACTAAATCTTTTAAATAAAGTGCGTCCTAATGTACGGTTTACACACAAATATTATGGCGAATTTCTTTTCTTTAAAATTGGCATTCAGATCCATTCAAAAGACCATCTAGAAAGATCTACTTATTGAAAAAATACGTGGAGTGAATTTTATTTGAATTTCAATAGTTCCTGTCCAATAAGCTATGAAAATGTTTTGGTTAGAACACTATCTAACTGTGTATGGAAACTATGTACGGAAGGGAAGACTAAATAAGAATTAATTGTAGTCAGAAAGCATCTGGTAGATATTGTTTACCCACAAAAGTTTAGCACTAAGTATAGGAAAACAGAAAAGAGGGAAGTGAAATTCGCTGAAGTCGACAAAAATCTAACCCTTTAACCACTTAGCTTTAAAAGTGATGCAAAAGCTAGGATGGCAAATTCTAGACTAAAACCTTCATTTAAAAGGACGTGTTCATCTACTAAACAGGTTCCGTTGTATTGAACAAGTTGCTTATTGAGAATGACAAATCGGTTAAAATCCTACCCCTTGTTACCTTCACTTCTATTTACCAGTTCATATGTTCATGCCAGGGCACTTTAAATTGGAGAATAGGAAGAAAGGTGCTGGTTCGCAACTCTCAGAATATCCTACAAAAACTAAAATTAAATGGTTAATGTGTTATTAACACTACCATTGTCCCTCATTTGCTTGATAGTGAAGAAAATGTTGATATTTTAAAATTGTGCATTATAATTGAGACTCAAACGAATAGTTTGCTTCGTTACCCTCTGGTTATCACTATTAAAATGTTGAAACTGATTGTATATACTCAATTGAATGTAGTTGTAAATCTCATTACCCTGGTAACCTTTATTTTTCATTATTCAATGACGTAATATATTATTTCATATTCCCAAAAATAAGTTCCTTCTTTCTTGAATCATTTTTGAGCTTAATCCATCTTAATGTGTTAATTCATCCAATTTCAAGGTTGCTTTTAGATAAGTTTAACATCAATTTTCATTGTCTAGAAACATGTTTCCATGTTATTTAAAAAAAAAAATTTATTTTAAAATTTCTCACATTTATTAACATTTAAGTATTCATTTACTCTACCATTTTATAGTTCAGCGATACCTGTTATCATTATTCTACTGATCTCGATTAATATGACACAAGGTAGGTACATTAGTTGTAAATCATTATTACTATTGTTTCTAGATTATAAATAGCTGAAGAAAACCTACGTTTTTTGTTCTTACTTTAATCAAATTTAATAATGAGAAAAATTGTATGAAAAGTGTTAATCTTTTTAATGCGTATATTTCCTCAAAGCTCTATTACCTATCCAACTTAATATTCTGTTTTGAACAATATGGTACAATATTTTGTCGAACATAAAGTACTAGACATAAAGTATTAGACAAAACACTTTAAATTCAATTAGAAAGCCAATCTTAGTTAAATAATCATTTTGTCTACTGTGTCATTTGGATCACTTTTATTCATATTACTTTAGATTTTCTAGACGAAATTTAATGCATAAATATCAAACTGTAGGTAACTCTTAGTTGGTCTTTTTGTTATATAATTTACAAAAGAATTTTCTGATCACTCTTTCTAGCTAATAAAGAATTGGTTTTTACGAACCATTTATTAATTACAGCATTTAGCTTTGAACACTTGAAGTTCAGTTTTGAATAAACAACAGGTGAGAATCAACAATTTTATATCATAGGAACATTCAAATTAATAATCCTAAAGTCGACTGTTGTGTAGATTCCATTCACGCCTCAATAATCAGACGTAATAAATTGTCTCTAAAATGTTAGTGATATGAATTTTTTGTAACGCTAGTGAATAATCCTACAGATCAAGTTTATCTTTAATATTCTTGACCGTTAAACAGTATACGTAACTAAATACACAACGAAATGATTTAAATATCTACATATAGTCAAGGAATTGAATTCTTCCTCTATTCCGGTAGAACCAAAATTGTCTTAAAAATTTATGACAGGTCATTTATAATAGACTGGAATAAATACTTAAAACACACAACCTTTTATGAATATCAGTAGTCCCTTAGTAAATTTTTTCTTAGTAAAAAATTTCATTAGTTCATTGGTGCCGAACAATTCTTTTACCAGGGTAAAAGTACTTAATGACTGACAGGATATTCTTACAGCTGTATCGATTATTGACAATAAGGCTAATAATATACATAATTTGGATAATCAGGTTTTCGTAAATCAATATTTTCAGAGTTTATTCACATTAATTAAATTTTTTACGTAGTTTCCAAAACTTGAAAAAAATAAAATGAATTTGTTTTTGTTGGGGAGATTCAGAAAATTCCTTGAAAAAAGCCAAAAAAAGGCTCTTAAAACTCTGAAAACCCCCTTATTCAATTAGCATTCAATAGACGTTTCTCCAGAAACATCTAGAAAGTAAAAAGTCACAGGTCGCGTCTCTGATTGGATGATTACTTATACTGCAGCGTTTCAGAATTTTCTGGAAGCCTAACGCCATCTAAAATGTTATAAATACCTTAGATTTTGTGAACACGAACGAACCTTGGAATAATGCGTTTCTTCCGTATTTCACACTTTTTCTTTAGTGTTCAGGTTACTGTGTAGATTTAGTCTGAGGGTTAATAGAAGGGCTTAAGAACCGAATCTAGCGTTCACTTAGAAGATTTATCAGTTTCAATTTTACTTAGGTCTCTCAGCAAACTAATCACACTTGTTTACTGATCTTTGATCTTTTTAAACTGACTTTCTCTCACACTTTATTTACACAACCTAGCTATACAGATATTGTGGACGTCGAAACTTTAAAGAAATTGGTCATTACAATTATACTACTGCTAAGCAGTTTAAATTATTAAAGTAAATCTCTCACTTACTAATTTTGCTGTAAATATATTATCAAACAACTAATTTTAAATTTTAAATTACCTTTCTGAAATGTGGCCGTAAATCCTTGTTTTTCTACTGAGCTATCTGATACAAATTTTACATACATCACATTATTGGTCGATTTAATTGGAGTGGGTAGATGTGATCCACATAGTTTTTTCAGCAGTGGGGATGTATCTTTTAAACCATCACGTACCTCTAGGTAATCGTATACACATGTATCATGTTTTTCTAGCTGTGAATTATCATTTTAGAAAATGAAAAGATCAACAATCCAGGTTATGAATGCTTAACTCAAGAAAAAAAATAAGAATTTAACAAACCATCTGAAAATGAACATTTATTTAGTCTGTTCACTAATAAGCCAACAGGTATCGAAGTAGAATATAGATCTAAAAATAAGATACACTCAAATTTTCATCATCAGTTGACTTGATGATATAGAGAACTTTTACTGCATGACAAACAGGTTAATTGAACGATTTTGATTACTTTTTTCTATTTTTTTTTTAAACATTATTTAGCGACAAATAATCAATTTAATGTGTCTACAAAAGTCTCTGTAGTTGTAAAAGTTCTACGATTAGCGTTGTACCATAAACACTGATTGTGATGAATTCTGATGATCTATCTATGAAAAATCAATTCCAGAAAATATTTAGGTCACAAGTAATATTTGCAGACCTAAATATAAATATTTATTATTTTATCATTGTTTACAGATTATCATTCATACAAAGCCAGTTAAGGATCCCTGTATTAAAACCTTACTAAAACAGACTCAATTGGTTTGTTATTGTTAAAATAGCTTTTTATGCACTGAAAACACTTAACTTGAAGATTAAGGTTGTAAAATGTAAAAAAAGACTGAACACTATTTAAATCCACACTGGGTGCTATGACATAAAACATACACAGAATTTCTTAATCATAGACTTTTAACTCACCTGAAATGAATGAAATATCAATGCAACAGAATAACCAACGGGAACAATAATTTGCCAAACACACTCTTTACTTGGTCGATAAAATTCAGGGTAATTTGGACTTGTTAGTGTCCCTTCTTCCATTTGTAATTCTCCACCACATATAGCTAAAGGGGAAAGTATTTATGAATATGTAAACTTCAGAGTACTTTTTCGACACATCTTGTTTGAAATCTTAAGAAATAGTGAACTAGAATGAGTGAATTGATGGTTTTCTGTGAGTTTTAGTGCTCTTCCTATCGGAGCCATGAAGTTTTAAATAAATGATTGTTTTCTTTCTGAAACCTCACATTGATACTTACATGAAGAATTACTGTTAAGGCTACAACTAAGATTTATTTATTAGTAAGTGTTATAAATGTTGCTGAAACTCATGAATGTTTATCTTACATCAAAAGACACAAATTCCAATTGAAATTCAGATTTTTCATCACAGAATTCTACGCAATAAAGAGAATTTCAAAAAGGGTAATGTCATTCATTATTCAAATGTATAAACTTAAGATAAGAAGTATGATTTGGAAAATTATTTTCTCTGGAAAGGACTGCCCAGGACAGGGTTGGAAGGAGAATGCTGGTGAGCGGCCTATGCTTCTTCACGAGGAGTAACAGGAGTAAGTAAGTAAGTATGAGTTGGAAAATAGTGTTCAAAATAATTAGGATATTTTAAGTAAATGAAAAGGACAGTATTAAACCATTTAATTATCACCTTCATAATCAGCGATAAAACCTGTAGTCATACTCCCAGCAGATCTTCTATATTCTAACCAAAGACGTGACCCAGTTGAAATTAACTGTGGAGGTAGATTTTGACCACAGTAACGACCTAAATAAAGATCAAAATAAAAAATTTGCAAAATAAGAATATTGTATACAAATTGATAATAGCACACTACTGTTAAGTCTATAAGAAACAACATGTAAACTAATCTATTTTTGATGTAGTTCATACGGAAAAGGTTGTGAATAATGAGCCTTGGACATTAATGAAATACGTATTTATCATAATATTACCGATGACTTATATTATAAATGAACATTGTTTGAACTTAAGACTTATGGATTAAGTATAATCACCTTTCTAACTTTTATAAAAAAACTTCATATTTGAACAAGGGATTTTAACTTATAAAGTAACTTCTTGGTACATAATCAGGTTATTAAAGTTTAGTAAAAGGGTGTCAGTAATTATAATCATTGTAGTTAACTGGCAAATATTAATGATTAAGTTAGTGTATGTTACATTTAAAGATTCATCCTTATGTCTCATTGGAAGAATGCATAAAACTAGATTTAAATACAATGGTTAGAGATAATAATTCACTTAGTTATGAAATTACATCATATAATTTAATACAAAAACTTTGATTAGAGTCAATGTTTAAATTTTTTGATTGAAATCATGAACCAATTGATGTTAGACCATCACAATTGAAAACCTGGAAGCACTGGACGGCCGTTTCGTCCTATTGTGGGACTCCTCAGCAGTGCGCATTCACGATCCCGCGAGCGGGATTCGAACCCAGGGCCTTCGGTCTCGCGCGCGAACGCTTAACCAACTGGACCACTGGTTCATGATCTCAATCAAAAACTTAATAATCTCCACAACTCCTATACTAGTAATCAATGTTTAAAGTTTAAATCTTCTAATAAACAATTCTATATGCTGAATTAGTTGAAGTTAGACATTAACACTGTTGGATGCCGGCTCAGTGGTCTAATGGTTAAGCGCTCGCGCGAAACTGATAGGTCATACGTTCCAGGTTTTCCATGGTGCTCTAGCTCCAATTGATTCATGATCTCAAACATTGAAATTACTATAATATCCACAGTTAGTATCAAATGATAAGTATTGTTTTATATAAGAGTTGATTAACGGTGAAACAATTCAAAATGAAAACCTTCTAGTTCTGTGAAATGAAGTAAATTCTTTCTATAGTAAATTCAATTTATCAACATAATTGATAAGATAGTTTCACATTAAAATGAAAAAAAGTTTGTTTTATGAAAATGCATTTATGATTTAGACCACGTGATTATTGACAATTATCATAGTCAAATTAGCTCACACGATGTCATAACATGATTGGTCCAAATCTTGAAAAGAAATTCAATTCTCTTAAGATTACAGATACAATATACTGATCAATCATAACTAACTTAACATTTAAGTCCAAGAATTTTCACCTATCTCTTCAACCTTATAATACATACAGTGCGATTTCGAGCCATTTCGCCTAATCGTTGAATAGCAACTTGACTCATGGAATTTTATCATCACTAATAAGTTGATTAAATAATATTGATCACTACTGAGTAATTAGTTAATAGGAGGAATGATAAATTGTTTGTCTCTTATGTAAATATTCGTATAAAAAAGTTAACTTACCAATTAATGGTGAACCAGAATAATATCCATCTCTTATTTCTACATAATCATTAATACATGAGATACGATTGATACTTTTTTGATTTAATTCATATGCTTTATGTAAATTATTTAAATTATTTGGTGTATGTATAGAATCCTGTGTTATCGGTCCAGATATATCCATGTGTGTAAAATTTAAACGTATCCGTTCACCTGATGCAGCATTTATTCTCCATTGACAAAGTATAGGACTAGCTGATGTGAAACCTAAAGTAGATGATGAACTTGTTTTTGATAATTTAGATAAACGACTCATTGCTATCAATGGAACTTCTTCATTATTGAATGATCCTTTAAATGGATTATATGGAATTGTTTTTAACTGATAATTATTATCATTGACCATACCGATTAAACTATGATCTTCACCACCATCAATTGTATTACCATTTGTTAATGATCGATAAGGATGATACATATTCTCGTTATCATCAGGTAAAAGATGATCAACTGATATAGCATTTCCTAGTTGAATCGACTGCTCTAAACCTATCGGATCGGGAAATAATGAAGAGTTGGCATTACCACCGAAACGATCTTCTAATTTCCATGCCATTTGTGGTGAAGACAAACTTCCTACTGGTTCTAGAAGTGTACGACCACATGCTAAAATGTAGCGAAAAATATTTCGTTTAAACAAATGAACAAAATGGCACCAAAATCAATAAAATAGACTCTAATGTGTAACAAATAAAAGAGAATGAATATTTTGACGTGTTAATATTAGTATTAACATAATACATAAAACCTAACTTAAATATTTTGAGTACCGATAGACAACAGAAACCTTTTACTGGTTAAATTGAATTGATTTTATAGTTTTATTAGCCAAATCTACATACTGTAGCAAACTTACGAAACAAAACAGTTACGTAACAGCCATTTTACTCTAACGAGTGATATTGGTTTATTATTTGGTTGTAAAACCTAGATTTTGAAGTCAAATAACATTCATGTTAACACTAAGGGCAACCCTGAAAATAAACGGAGAGAAAAACATTTTTAATATTTATTTGGGTGGTTTGAAGGGATAAATTTGATTTGATGATAATCTCATTTACAAACTGATATAAGCTGGATATTATCTTCGCTCAAGACTCCTTAGTAGTACAAATCTACGGCACCAAATAAAGTCGGACTTCTTGTCTCCAGATATTATATCAATCGCAACACATTTAGACTAATGCAATGAAATCCGGTAGTTTTCATTTCCAGATATAGTCAACTTGCAATCATTTAATGTCGTCGACAAGTGATTCGTTCATAACATGGTTGAGTTCTGTTAATCGCGGCTTTTTAATAGACCGTGGTGAAAACCATCTTCAAATCGAACATATCTCTACAAATTATATATTCTAACTATGTACTTGAAAATAAGTAACCTTGGAATAGTTTTCGAATTTCGAATTAAAATATGTCGCTCATAACATTCAAAAATATTATCTAGTGACTGAATCACATATGATTAGTTTAAATTTATCATCCATACAAAAAGACCCAAACTTTCTAAATATCACCCAGTGTAAAGTCTGTATGTTAACGAGTTTTAAACTGAGAACTAATGTTTACTGATTTGTGCTCTATAAAGGTCTCCAATTAATTTTGATTTCAAATGGTCTTCCAATCAAATTCATCCCTTGAAACTATCCAAATAAACATGATAATTTTGTTCTAGGTTTATTTTCAATATTCGGTTTGTAAATTACGTAACAATTTACTTTGGTTCTAATCTATAAGTATGAAAATAAATAGGTTGGAGAATGCTGGTCGGTAGCCTATGCTCCTATGGGAGTAACAGGCGTAAGTAAGTAGACCAAAGGAAATAAGTAAACTACTGCTTATTTCATTAGATGAATTTTACTTTTCTACAACTATTATTACTACTGCTAATTTCAAGAAAATCTCTTCTCTCCGAAAGATAATCAAATTATCGTAGTTACACAGCTCTCGACAATATATACATAATACGTCAAATGGAGATTGTTTCAAATCATTTGAACGGTGGCTTATTAACATTTGTGAAGCTTCGTAGGAGAAAAGCTGGAAATTCTGAAGTAAAAATGCAGAGTTACGTTAGAAATTCAATTAAAAATATGAGCATTTTCAGCATGAATATCTGAATTAGAAAGAGGAAAAAAGTACTAACAAGTTATTGAATACACTAGAAGAATGGTACCAAATTTATAATAAACCGCAATACAGACAGAAATAACATACAACTCCTTGGACACAGTACCAAGTAAAACCATATGAAACATAAAATGTTTGAGGAAATATTTATACCGGATACTTGGGTAATCTAGTTTAAATAAAGAGAAATATTCAAACGGGATATTTTATCATTGGATTTAGTTTGTATACTGAACACTTTAATTACCATCAAAACATATGTAGTAGTGAAATTTTCCCTAAAGATTTGGATAGCTTTAAAATAGTCTCCATTATGAAATAACGTTAATCAAATAATCATTGAAAAAACCCAGAAAGTATTGGTCAGTTGTTACATTGTTGTTTAAGACCTTCTTAGTAGTTCGAACTTATGGCACTACACGTGATGTACTTCATGACCTTTAGATGTCTCGCTTAATGTTATATCGTCATTTTTATGTACTTTTAATATTCATGTCAATCTTCATGTCAATTGTTATAACAGTTGATGAAGTGAACAGTTGAATTAGCTAAAATGACAGAAAAAATCCTACAAATTAGAGGTAATACTCGTCATAAACTGGTAACAGATGATCAATCATTGAAGATTGTAGAGTAATTTATAGTTGTTTATTTTATTCTTAAATCCCTTGAAAACGGGCAATTCCAAATTTACGTGACATAAAATTAAGTAATTTGGTATCCCACACACAATAATGGAAAACAAAGTCAGATAATTATAGTACTGTGATTTCTGATATAAAAATCTGTATAAAAATAGAAATAGTCTCATAGCAGGACAAAAACAGTTATCCCCCCATCTTCTGTTTGCAGTGGTTCATTCGCACTTTCTTAGTTCACGATGCAAACTAGTTTTAGGCTGAACGACCTTTACAGAATGCTCATTTTAACGGAAACAATAACACGTTATCATAAATTTAAATAATTACCTGGACATAAATAAAGTTTATTCGTTTGTCGAATATCACCAGGACTTAACTGAATACGTTGACCAATAGGTGGTCGTGGACAACAAGCTTTTGGTCTAATCGTTTCATCTTTATTCGCTTTAGCAAATGTTCCTTTAGCGTAATGCATAATAGAACTATAGTCATATGGTTCACCAAGAGAGTTCACTTCACCTGGATCCATTTTTTTAAAATTAAAATCTTGTCCTTCAACAACATTATCGAGTAGGATATCTACATGGTCTGTAAGTATATGTAGAAGGAAATATTTCTGATAATTTTAAAGAATTATTGAAGCATAAATTTAAAGAATGGAAGGTATTAGGTAACAGATTATATTCGTTATTATGATACCTGAAACAAACATTATTTATCGATTTCAGTCCGATCCCGTAACTCATTTACCAAGTAGGGGTTCCAAGATTAGGTTGCATGCCACGTTTTTATACCTGAGACCTAATGATAGTACTCATTTACCTTGATGAATATAGTTGAAGTTGGGTTCGAAACTCCTACTCAGCTGTCGGAAGTCGTATAAAGTTTGTAGCAGTAAGATTGTAAAAAAATCTAGAAACACTAAATTAGATAAACAAATACAGACAAATGAGATAGCCTACTTACAGAGTGGGATGAAGGAAGAAGAAATTGATTCTCAGCACAGGCATTTAACTTGAATCTCTAGAAGTTCTCGTTTTCATCCATCATGGTCAAAGTTTTTCTACCGACTGATACAAACAGTCTAGGACCTAATTGTATTGTGTTTAACAACAGTTTTACCATCCAGAAACCTGCATTTGACAATGATATACATAATTTACCACTGGCAAACACATTTTATAGTTTTTAATAGAAAATCGAGGAAACTACTTCCTAAGCAGGCAGAATAGTGGGTGGTCTTTGGTCACAAATAAGCGATGTGGAATATTACATATTGTTTGTTCAGAGTCTTCAAGAAGTATCTGCATTATTCATCACATTATTCTTGTTTAATCCAAGCATTTCTAAAAGTGACGCGCCTGATAATGAAATAAATTACCACTTATGTCAACTAGGGCGTTATTTAGAACCGATTTTGAAGTGTTACCCTATCTGTCATACGGAGCCGAAATTTAGAGAAGTTTTTCAACCATCATTAAAAAGTACAGGTATTTATAAGCAATTGTCAAGCAAGATACTCCAGATCCATCGGATACCACCAGCAGTAACACGATGTGACAGGGAACGAATTAGCCTCTAGCTGAAGAAATTAGGAAAAAGCACTGGATGTGGATTGGACACATATTGCGGAAATAATCAGACGGCATCTCGAGTCGAGCCCTAACTGGGGATCTTCAAGGTGAAAGAGAAAAGGTGGACCAGAGAACACAGTGTGCTGGGATCTGGGAGCAGGCATCGAAAGAATGAATAGGAAGTTGAAACAGTTGGAAAACAGAATCCAGAACAGAGTTGGTTGGAGAATTCTTGTAGGCGGCCTGTGCTACAACGAAGGGTAACAGGTGTAAGTAAGCAAACTCAACATTTAGTAGCTGACTCTTGTAAAACAGTTCTTTGTTATCCCTTCATGTAAAAGAATTTACTCCAAAATTATTGACACCACTTCTTTGGAGAAATGGCGACTTATAATGTCCTCAAATTGTTAAGTGAATACTAAACAAAACAATAAGGTATTTCCTATTGTAGTTCATAATTGAAAATTTGATATTAAATAATTTTTAAAGATTTGAACTATTGTGGATTTACTTTTATTTAGAATGTACAAATAGTCTAAAACGACAAAGTGGAACTAGTACGAAACCACAGAAATACCACCCAAAGTGAAAACGAAGTCAATCAGTATTAAATTATGGACCAAAATTACTGTCATTATCTCACGATCTATCTTTGTGATAGTTTTATGATTAGAAATTAATAAATACTCAATATAGTATAGAGTGAACATTCAAGGTTACGTTAATGTTCACTGGATCTGAAGACTTGACTTACCATCTCGATCAGGCCTAGTGTGTTCATGCCAAAATCCAATCACATGACCAAGTTCATGAATTACTATCCCTTTCTTGTCACAATTTTTCCCGATTGATATAGCTTGTGGTTCATCTTCGCTACGTCGTCCCACATATGAACAACACCTATTATTATTTTTTTTAAATTGTAAACAATAATGAGGACTTTAGAAGAAATAGTATTTTACAGTAACTCTCAAAGCAAATTCAAAATCATGGATGTGCATTGCTGAGGAGTCTCATACTAGGACGAAACGGTCATCTAGTGCTTCCGGTTTTCAATGGTGGTCTAGCTCAGATTGACTCCTGAATTCAGCTAGTTTATATCTTGAAGCTAAAATTATGTTTTTCTGTTACTGGGTATTAGTAAGTAGTATGATTCATTTGTTTTTATTTTGTCACACCTCGAATGATATATCATCAATGACAGTTCAAGTAAGGAAAGCTAATTTTCTTTTCCTAAGACTTTAGTTTGTTGTTCATAGTCATATCCTAATAGACTAAATCTTCCATATCATTGACATTAGTGTACATAGATCAGAAAACTGATCATACAAAAGGTGAACGCTCGCATAATTATGAACAAGAAGTAAAAAATTATTCACTTACTGCATACTATTTGTAATGAGACTAATGAATTTCATGAACAGTAGTGATCATAGACAAGTTACCAAAAGATATATAATTCATACACTTAGTATCTGACCTCACAATTTGGTCACATTATCATGGATTCATTGTTTAGCTTGATTAATTATAAACGTGATCTAATAAATTAACCTACATCGTAATCTTATATAAAAAAAACCCACACTATGTTGATATTCAAAGTTGGCTATATTCATTTGGAATAAGGCATAACCGGACAGTAAAAGTGAACACGAAACATTAGTGTTTTGAAGACGAGAAATAGTAATTACACAATCTAATTAAGACATCAGTAGATTAAAATTGCTGAAGACAAAAACAGACCAGTGGCATTCAACCAGGTCTGTTGTGAGATATCACTGAAGATAATGGTGAATGTGTCGCCCGATTTCGTGGATTAGCTGAAGTTAGAAATCGACACCGTTGAATGCCGGCTCAGTGGTCTAGTGATTAGGTGCTCGCGCGTGAAACCAGTAGGTTCTGGGTTCGGATCTTGCGACGGGCGAGGTCGTGGATGCGCACTGCTGAGGAGTCCCACGATAAGACGAGACGGCCGTCCAGTGTTTTCAGGTTTTCCATGGTGGTCTAGCTTCAACTGTCTCATGATCCTAACCATTGAAATTACTACCATCTCCACAAAACCCATCTGATATTAAAAACAGAATCCTTCAAAATAATTATAAAGTTCATCAAGTAGTGCCTTCCTCAATATTATCTACATAATTATATCATCGATGCATAATTTGTGGAAACCAATTTTTACGGATACAAAATTTATTTAAACAAATTGGACAAATTATTAATTCACAAACAGTTGCATTTGTCTAACTATTCACCAAAATCTTCAGTTTCTGAAGCTTTAAACCCACAATTAAGTTAACTCTCAAATCTAAATCTTTTTCTCCTTCTTTAAACACTTACCCACATGCCTTTTCAGTGAAGATTATGTAGGATCTGTGATGTGGTTGCCTTTCAACAAAGCTAAGACAGGTATAATTTTCCCAATGTCGCATAGCTTTCATAATCGTAGCTTTAGTTTCACCTAAAAAGCAAATAAATTTAAAGAATTTCAGGACAGCATCTATAATCATTTTACAGAATTTAAGTTTCATCAGTCTCTTTAGCGCATCTAAGGTTTATTCGTTGAAAACAAATGTAGATCGTTGAAAAAAAGCAAGTCATTTACCTCAAAAACTGGGATTGAATTAAACAACTTTTTTCAGCTTCCCTAAACATTTTGTTTATCGACATTTGGCTACTTTCAATAAGTATAAGTAGCGCAAATAACATAACGAAATTCAATATACATATTTCCGCATCATTATTACAGTGATCGGATATAACAGATTAACTATTCAGGTATTAATGTAAAGTCGAGTATTTTTCTCTGCCACATATTCAAATAGCGTAATCCTCACGGAGAACAGACAGTAAGTGTTTGAACTATTCAATAGCTGTTCAGTACTATTACTTCCATTGCATATAAACTGAGTGAAGCCATCTGCAGAAGTATCGATGTATCATCTCATGCATCACTACTACTTACTAGTGACAGAGCATAATATTGAACAACTAAATTTAATGAATTGCTTCCTACATTTGAATAGTACACATTCCTTCCACTTCAGCTGGTTAAATAGTGAAATAGTTCTTCTAAATCAGTAACCTCTGATTCGAAATATAGTGAGGTTTGATATATTTCAAATACAGTGTCTGGCTAAAATTCGTGAGCTCAGTTAATGAATTTATATCTTCAAAGTGCTCGAAATGGTCAGAAGTAAAAAAAAAATTGGTGTAAATCATCCCGGCTTAATATAAAGTCACCGAGAATTTGTCAGTGACATGAACTTAACCTGTAACAATTAATATCGTTATGTGACTTAATTGAACAGATGAACTATACAATTCTTTAAATTTATTTTACAAACCATAGATTCCCTCTTGTTGGTTGCTCAAGTGTAACCATGATCTTGTTTTATACATGCATGTATAATGGTGCCTATGTGTTTCTCTCTTTTTCGTATTTTTTAAATAACTTATAAAAACTGAATCACCTTATTATTCTCCGAGCCAGTGTATTACCGTGCCCCAATGATTTATACAGTCAATGTGTCTTTTGTTGATTTCCTACCTTTCAGTATTAGCGTGTCCGAAATATAAGTATCCAAAATACCAATTTCTTGGCTTTTGATATACTGCCATCCTAAACGTGTTAAGTTTATAGAACATATACGAAATGAGATAGGATAACTATTTCACTATCATTGATCATATTAGGATCTCACAACGGGCAGTAAAAACCTCTTTAGAAAAATATATAGAATGGAAAATTGATCACTGATGCCATTATCTACTTTATTTCCCCTGCTCCTTTTATTGAAAATTTTAAAGTTAAGCATATGGATTAAAAGAAAGTTAAATTTACTTGAAAAATTTGCTTGTATTATGTATGGGATAACTCCGTTTGTCCATGTTCTTGAAACATAAGCTGTAGCTGCCCTTTTAGATCTTCTTTTACCTTGAGAAAACTCTTTCTTTTTTATTTGTTCAGGAGTAAACATTAATATGTCAGCTTTCTGTTGATGCAATTTATTTAACTGAATAAATGCTTGTGTTTTGGCCTTAAGTTGGCGATATCTTCGACGTCTAAGTAATTCATTCCTTCTTCTCTGCAAGTTTTGACCAAACTTTTTCGATTGTTCCCTGCGTCTACTTGTTAAATTTTTGAGTTTGTTTGGAAGACTTCTGTCTGCCATATCTTTGTAATTTTGAATATGCTTTTGTTTCAAATGACGTGAGTTACCAGCTAAATGAGTGCTGAATGTTAAGAAAAAATTTTAAAGATATATGATGGATATGCTTCTAATGACGTTTCTTATGTGGGTCCGGTTAACAATTTTCTAAAAGGACATGATCATTACTAAGGTTTCTCTTGGACAGATAATAGAAAACTTTTGTTGCAAATATCAGGAAACGTGCTTGCTCAGACTCAGTTTAGATTAAATAAAGTCGGATTTCCAGAAAGGAAAGTATCAACTTTTTTGACTGAGATCATGAACCAATTGATGTTAGACCACTATTGAAAACCTGGAAGCACTGGACGGCCCTTTCGTCTTATTGTGGGACTCCTAAGTAGTACGCATCCATGATCCCTCCCACGGAGTTCGAACTTAAAGCTTTCAGTCTCACACGCGAACGCTAACATAAAACGCTGGCACAAAACAATGAAACAACAACGACGAAACTACTGACTGAAAATTGACAATATTTACAGTTAAGATATTGAAGCAAGTTTAATAAATATCAGCAATTCTATTTTCGTAGTTAAGCATAAATCTGATTTAATGAATTTTTAAAAAAATCCAACAGCATCTAAAACTAACTTATATACAAAAAGTGAACCAACCTAATACTTTCATAAAACATCTTTCTACAAAATTAAATTATCTTGACTCTATATTTTGCAAAGTACCTTTGAGAGTTTGGTGATCTATACGGATGGATAGAAATTCTATTAGTATTCAATCTCGTTCTAAGAAATTACTTACATTTACCTCCATAGAATATTCCGAAAAAAGAATATGTAAGTGAACAGTTGTTGTTTTTAGTAACTTTATCAGGTTTTTCAATTATAAATCCACAATCGTTTTGGTGTAATGCTCAAAATGTCACGTATGAATATAATCAAAGAGGGGTTTTGTGGATATTTTTGTAATTTAGTAGTTGAATTTATGAGTCGATTGAAGCTAGACCACCATGGAAAACCTGTAAACACTGGACGGCCTTTTCATCCTAGTATGAGACTCCTCAGCTGTGCGAATCTCATGAGGCGGTTTCGCACATATGAATAATTAAACTGAATAGTGTTATATGTTAAGATTGTAAGCTTTCGCATCATTTAGAGTTTAAATATATCTAAAATCTGTCAACTGTAAACTTAAAACATCATTTCGGTAAAGTAGCCGGAAAACCGATTGTAAGTTATCGGATTCACATAAATATTATTTATCATAATTATCCCTTTTATAACTTCGTTTCTGTAAATTTGTATACTTGGTATTACCCATTAAGCTATTAAACCTTAATACATTTAACAATGACTAAAGCATTTGATAGTAAACTCTAAATATTGATCTTTCAGTTCATTCAAAAATCACTAGGTATCGACTGCATAACCATTTATAGTACAGTGCTTTAAAAATTGTCACCAAGTCTCAAATTCCTTTAGTCCTGTTACCGATTTAGTTCATTTCGAATATAATTCGTAGTTCACAGTTATATGAAGAGGTAAGATATCAACATATCAACAGTCAAACTCAAGAAACGATATGCACAACTTCGTGGACTTGTTTAAGTAGGATAGAAATCTTTTACTTTGGATTAATTGCATTATAAAGTTTTGCTATTTGTATGAACAATTATACAAGATATTATAGTAGACTTGTTGAATTTAAAATATTCTCAAAAATATTCTTATTTCTGTAGAATAATCATCTTATACATATGTATTTCATCATTATATAATCAGGATGGTATTGCAGTTTTATATTATACTATAGGTGTTAACAGCATAGATGTATCTCAAGAAGGTCATTATATCTTTGAAAACTCTATATATAGTATTTTGCTAAGGATTTATATAAACCTCTAAGGAGAACTGCAGACATAAAAGGTGTATCAATCAAAACTTTGCTTCTTTTTTTAAAATGGATTTCACCTACTATCCTCTATTTTATCATCTAATTCATCCATTACACACTGAAAAAGGATATTAGATGTCTAAATTTTTTTTCACTTTTTCTATACTTGTCAACTGAACTAAAATAGTTTTCTGTATTTATTGATTAGTTGAAGTCAAGTTCGTGGTTGATAAAAACATACACCGAATGTTATATAATAGAATAAACCGTGTTCAATTATCTTCAGAAATGGATCACAAGCAACTTATCAAATAAAAGTGTGAACATATTTCATGTATTTTATCTAATCTAAACAGAAAGCTTACGATAAGTCGCCAAATATCAGGAATTCAAATGTATGTTCACCAGAATAACATATATATATATATATATATATATATATATATATATATATATATATATATATATATTATTGTGATGTAAATATATATGATTTATTTATGAACGTCTGCATTATAGATGAACTATAAAGTCATATGTTTAAATGAGAAATATTGTCATTGTATATTGGCAGTCATATGCAAAGGATTTTCTACTACAACTGTATCTTTTTTAAAAGTTCTTCATATGAAAATTCACTATGTAGTAAGATAAAAAGTATTTTCATTTTAGTAAACTAACAGCTATGATGAAACCGGAACATGCTATTAGTTCGAAGAAATCTCATCAATATTATTCAATAGTTGAAATCATGAGTCAGTTGAAGCTAGACCACCATAGAAAACCTAGAAGCCGTTTCGTCTTATTATGTGACTGCTTATCAGTGCGTATCCATGATCCCGCTCGCGGGGTTCGAACGCGGGACCTGTCGGTAAGACTTTGTTTCCTAAAATATTTAACTCACCTTCGTTTGAATTAGTTTTGATAAGATCTGAATGGAAAGCTCATGTAGTGAACTTTACCTGCTTCAAATAATATTCGGATCAAATACATGGTGACTGAGGTGATATTCAAACCTATCCAATAGATACTTATCAAAGTTTAGTCATTAGAGAACTGAAACCAACAGATAGAGTCTAAGTTTCATGAAGTACTTAGCGAAATAACTTTTTATGCTTTCTAATATCTTACAGTCTTCATTGCGCAAATGTTCATAAGTTTAAAAATAGACAAAAAACAGTTTGTAATGGTCAGTTAATACCTGGTTTTCTAGTATAAGACTTCGGCTGATGTAATTTCATGATAAAAACTATCTTGAGTTTGTAACAAATCTTCACAGATATTTAAATGACATTACGATAAATAGAACAAGATTTCGGTTATTTAAACGTTGAAATGCCATTTTCATTAATGTTATCACAATGAGTAAACAAATGATCGAATACTAATCATACTCCATAACATAAACATCTCTTATTAGTGATACTGCGTTTTCATTTTATTCATTCAGAACATCCCTGAAAGTCTCCAAAAGTCATGTTGTTTCAAACATCTTCCATTTAAGAGTAGTGTCAGTGACATCCAAACATAACTTTTGGATTTTTGAAATAAAAAGAGAACTAACAGAAAGCTAAATTTAAGAAAAAGAATAAGTGATCATACTACGAGCTGCAAACATTAGGATAATCGCTGTTGTGTGTAGTGACTTACTGTCACACGTGTATCAGTATAAAATAAAATTTGATCATGCAAAATTCACATTGATCCATTGAACTCATGATAATCTCTAATTACAATCATCAGCTGTAACTCATTACAATTGGAATGGTGATTTATTAAGTGATATCCATAATAAACAACATTCGTAGTGGACAAACTTTATATTTTTGTACAAAATAAGATTATTATCTGTAGTCTTACATATTAGATAGTTTTTAAGTTTTTAGCTCAAAAGTTTAGGCTTTTAAATGTCTTAACAATTTTGTACCGATTCGGCTGTGGCGCGATTTTTTTTTTATAGAAAAAATTAACTATCCTAATAATCATGTTTGACTCGGAAAATAAAAACCCTACTTACCCATATTGATTTTATATACACTATTTAGAATTTAGGAAATTATTATGGTAAAAAAAATAAAGCACCAAAAGCCTTAAAACCTTAATGAAAATAAAATACAACTTGCACACTGTATAATAGTGTCCGATTTATTTTAATTATACAAGAGTCATACATACTTTGATTATTAAACATTGATGACTCTTTATGATATACAATAGACAAGTTGACTATTAGTTTAAATACTAGTTGAAAATTTTCCCTGGTCGAATTGGTTACATGCCATTTTTAATAATAACATCCTAGTCACATGAAAAGTTAAAAAAAGAATAATCAAATGATTTTCTATGATTGTACAACCCCTCCAGATATTTCAATTATTAAGTTATATTATATATATATATATGATTTTTAACTGTTGATTATACTGATTATGATTGTTTGACATTTGAAAAGAAAGAATATATTTTAGTTTCATTGAATCAGATCCCAGATTTTGTTCTCTATAACTTATTTGCTCTTTTCTTTCTTTCTTTTTCTTCTTCTCCCCCCCTCGCGTTTTCAACTGTCCTTTGGTTGAATGTATACTTATATCATTGTGTGTATATGTTCATATGGAATTTACGTATACAGGATTTTTCGTGTGTTTTATTTTATCATTTCTTTCAATTTCCAAAAATGAGATACTTTTCAGATTTCTCCCATATTGTGTGAATTTTGAATGTTGTCGTGATGAAAAAAAAACACAAAATGAAATGTTACAAGACATAACTAATCTAATTAAAAATGGAACTCATTTTTCGTTATACATTATCTATCTCCTACTTATATCTTTATGGCTGTTTTCGTGACTGTTATTGACTTTATTTCATTCAATAGAATTCTGGCCCTTTATTACTGAAAAATTGACAAAGACGATTAATATATAAACGTATTTGAATCTATTAAAGTTAATGATATTTGATTTTGATTTGGGCATGCTGGTATTTTACAGATTTTTTTATTTATGTATTAATAAGATATACGATGTTATTTCTGTATTGTATCCCGACGAGAATTATGAATGGTAACTCTTCAGAACTAATTATGGACAAATACGATACATATATTTTTATTATTAAGTAGCTAAACTATGCATATTCATGTTCCTCTTATTAAAAGCTTTATTTCGACACATAGAT